TTATTATTATTTTTCCTGTGAGTTCTTTTAGGAATTCGATTTATTTAGTTCTTGCATTAAAATATTAATGAACAATTCACAGACGTTTAATAAATTGTATTAAAAGACATATCATACTTTGTACACATAGTTGTAATCTATAATAATTACAATGTAATATAAAATAATTTCAAAATTTTTCCGAATTAAAGATTGTTCTTTGCATTACATTTAATTGTGCTTAATAACATTTACTTTTTTAGTACAGCTTATATATGTATTTTATTATACATAATATATATTAATGTATGTACAAGAGACTCCCGAAGGAGTTTAAATATTTGAAGATCTTACTGCGTTGCAGAACACAACGGAAATTCACGAAGCGCGTACACAAGAATGTCGGAAGAAGGATGACAACGAGATTCGGTCCTTCGAAATTTTTTATCTCTTAGTGGCCAGAAGTCCCAGAGCAATTGTTTCGCCTTCTTCAGCTATAGTGTCTTGTTCCTTTTTTCTTCTTTGATGCTTTGTTTCTCTTCTTTGGCTCGAGTGTTATTCCTTATGCGCTTGTGACATTTCACAAGAATGTCTATTCACCATGCGTCTGGAGCTCAAATGTGTTCGATGTTTCTTTCAATTTTCTTATCTTTAGTCTTGATGTAATTCCTACTCTAGTAATTCATAATTTTCTTAACACAATGTACCGTCTATTATATTTATTTAACTACCTGTTGGGCTTAGAAAATATTGAAAACTTGAAGATAAAATACTAAGTTATACAAAAATAAAAATATACATGAAATTAATAAATTATATACTTAGTTATCAACGAATCTACATTGAAAAATACAATTGCTCGGTTCATTACTAAATGATCATAGAGTATAATGTAACTCACCGACATAAATGTTGCAGAGTCAAGTGATTTCTGTTCATGAAATAATTACACAAGCGTAAAATGCGTACATTATAGTATTTATTATCATATTGAGATAAAGAAATGTCGAGAGTGAGATTATAGATCGCGAATTATCATGTCCGAAATTACCTTTTTTGTAAAATGTTTACTTTTATTACCACTTTTTAAAAGATTTAAATAGGAAATAAAAAATTTCTGACACTTCGCGTATTTGATAATTGATAATAATCTATTAGAATTTTTTAATACAGAAATATTCTTATTAGAAATTAAATCTTTTATAAGTTAAATTTTATCGATAAAAGGGGACATAATTGGAGATTTCTTTTTTGTGTTGAGAAAAATTTCATAAATGCTTGAAAATCATTTATTGAAGAACAATTGTTTTTGTCAAATATGTTTTTAATTGACTTGGCATATTCAGATAGTCAATATAACGTATCATTCAGTTTAATTGTTTGGGAAATGAAAACCTCATCGATACAGTTAAATAAGCAATATTTTTGTCGGTGTTGAGAGTTACATTTCATTTTCATGTCTATACAATTTCGATGTTTTATTATCAATACATCGTTATATTAACAATCACTCGGACAAATCGAAATGTCATGATCATGTTGTATATTGACATTTAAGCAATGCTCAATACTACATACATATAATCCTATAACATGAATAATTTGACGCTACTTTCAACATAATGGTACAGTTATGTTAATTATGTACAAGAAGTAACATAATCATGTACTTACTAGCTTACTACTTATTGATGAGTCGAACTGGAAATGTTATATCAGTGCTCTTTTCAGAAGTTAATGGAAAATTGAAGAGAAATAGATTTTGCCCGTAGACACGAAAAAATTATTTCGAATATTTAAAAAATACTTAAATATATTGTATATATAATGTTACATAAATGGAAAGAAGATGTTGTACAAGGATATGATTAGCCAATTTATCGATTTTAAAATATTACAAATATTAAATATTTGAACAAAAATTCGTCGCGCTACTTTATTTGTATCATGTCTACAAAAAATTTTCATAATTACATATTATTCAACAAAGAAAAATTTTAGTTGAAACACAAGTGCTGATTTTTAACAGTTACATATGTGCAAAATAATCTGTTTACTTAATCCACAATAATTTAATAACAAAAAATTTTAAGAATATTGAAACTAATACCCATAAAAGCCTCAAATGCATTATCTTAAGAATATTTTTATTAAAATATAATTTTGTAGGGAAAACTTTATGTTTTTACATTAGAAAGTCTAGAATATTAGCAAATATTTTCTGGGTGATAAGTTCACAAAGTAAGAAGAAATTTTCCCAATTTATTTAGTTAATAGGTTTTTTCTCAATATTGATCTTTAATTATTACATTTTATGTATAATATAATTTATGTAAATTACATCTCTTTCTTTCCTTTCCTCTTTGTTTTTCTCTCTCTCTATTAAAACAAATTATTAATAACAGAATAAAGAAATATTTAGTATTGTTCTTTTCAAGAAAAATGCCACATTGGCTATCTCATGATAAAATATTGATGTTTTCTCTTGAAAAATGTCGTATGCCGTCCGAAAGCCGATAATGTATCAGACTAGTATCGCTTTTATGTGTGTTGGAAAAACTATAGTGCTGTTCTGCGATATCACAAATCCGAGATAGGAGAAAATATTTTTTTATAAAGTAAATGTGAAATTACGTGAAATAAAAATTCTGATCATAATCGTACCTTTATGTGTATGTATGTATAAATATATATATGGAATGTATTAATAAGAGACTCTAGATTATGCAAGTAAGATAAATTTTACCCTTCACATACAGGACAGTTATTCTAGATTTGTATTTTGTAAAATATAAACATGTACCTATATTAATAAGATTGACAAAATTATAAAAAATGTTTATTAGAACGACAAATGCCGGTAGAAAAGCGTGTTATTTATTAGTATAGCGAATCACTATAAAAGTAATCTGCTCTTATGGTACGGACTTACCTCATAGCAAGGTAGCCGAAAACCAATAACGTTGGAAATTGACTATATCATCTGCACTCAGGACGGCGGGAAAAATGATCGGTCCTATGATATTGCGCACACGATACTCAATATCGCTTTTCCCACTCACAGTTAACGTGTATCTTGATAAAGTAAAATTGAGCGATATGGAAATTTAAGAATACGAGAATGAAGCTGAATGAAAGGAACGTATTCTTAAATATCTGCAGTAACTTGAAATAATCAAGGATAACAGAAATAATAATGAATATTAATAACGTTAAATTTTCTTTATATACATGAATATGTTTTCTAATAGAATTATGTTTTGCACATATTTTAAAACATGATTACGCTTCTTCCCAAATAATTTTAAAATACAAAAAAAGCCGCAAGAAGAGAGTTTCATTACAGCTACAGTTTATTCAGAAAATGTAATGCCCCTTCTTCCATTCTTCATGTTTATCCCGAAACGAGAATATTACGTATAATGAAAACGAATGAAAGGAATGCTCTGTATACCTTTATTTTTCAATATAATCTCCACGGAGTACGAGCTTATTTTGCCACAAGCACAAGTGGACGAAGATTATATTAAAAAAGTGTGTAGACAGAAAATCTCTTTTAACCACGCATAATTTTCATACTTCCTAAATAAAAATAATTCCTAAAAAATATTATATCTCTAATAAAAAATGAGAAATTGTAAAATAATGAGAAATCCTACCCCTTCTAGGTTTCTTTACATATTTTTCGTTTTATGTTACATTTCTGCAGTAAGTACTTTGGAAAAATTTTAAATATATATATATATATATATATATAGAAAAAGATTGTCGACATTGTCATACTATTTTGTTCTTGGATTATATTTTACTTTTGTATTTATAGAATTTATATATATATATATATTTTTTTTTTTTAGCTGATTTTGTATAAAACCAAACAATAAATATTATATATAAATCGTAAAGTGCAATTTTTAATAAAAGCCACTTGTATATGCGTTTTTTTATGCTCACATTATTCTCTTTACTTATTGTTTTTTCCGAGAAATTTACGTATTCTTTATTCATGTATATATTTTTGGTTCGTAAATCAAATATTATCACACTGCATTTTTATATTGCAATCATACTCGTGCATGAAGTTCTCCACTTGACTACATCTGGCTGCATGTTGCCGTGTGATACTTTCAACTTACATGTGTGTTCAACGTCGTGCCCCTTAATCATAACCGTCCATGTTGAGATGTCTCGAAGGAGGCATCAAGAACGTATAGCATCGGCTTTGCCTCGCTAGTCACTAGTTCCCCTAACATTACCCTAATGCAGGAAATCGTCGGTTTTAGCACTGAGAATGATCGCCGAATGTATGCTCGTTTTCTCTCTCTCTCTCCTTTCCTCTCTCCGTTTTACATAACGACAAATTGACATTTGCAGTAATAACCTAAGTCTTAAGACTTAGTATGAAATATCGAGTATAGTCATGCAAGCTGCATTCGACGCCGACACAATAGTGAATTCTTGGTGAAAGTTCGCGGTGTAGCGAAATGGGACTTGATTGTTCCGCACGTTTTCCAATTAGTCCGTCGCTCTTCTCCTTACGCCGTGTCGCTTTTAACTCATGACATGAATAAGTCGTCGCGAAACTTGTTACAACAAACATTTTGATGCTTCGCTGAAATGAGGAAGTTTACTGTAGTTAGTTCTGTCATGCTTGATAGAACAAAAATGAAGAATTCTTCATATCTTTCAAAGCAGACATAATGATATATAAATACAGAAAGACGAAATATTTCTGCTGTATACAGATGGTATTCTCATATACTACCATGTATTAATATTTTTACAAATGGTTTTACAGTATCATACCCAGATTTTGTGATTGAAGAAAAAAATGTTATAAACAGAAATAACCCCTTTCTTTCTAAACAATTTTTAATAAGCAACATAATTTTATATTTTTTTGTACCTTGAGATGTGAAAGATCACGTCTATCCAAAGAAATATGTGTGTGTGTGTTTTAATATAATATTTTATAGTGTAACTGTAATGTAACTCTAATGGTGAGATTCTTTTTGTTACAGTTTGGATAGAGATCAACCATTTACTTTCCAGCTTGGTGTTGGACAAGTTATTAAAGGCTGGGATCAAGGTCTTCTGGATATGTGCGTAGGCGAAAAGAGGAAATTGATGATACCACCTGAGCTTGGATACGGCGAAAAGGGAGCTGGAAATGTTATTCCTGGTGGTACGATGACATCTTTTTATTATTTTTGAAATTTTTTAAATATTAAATATTTTTATTTAATGTTTTATGTATTTAATAATTTAATACAATTATACGCTTAATTTTATATAAAATAACAAATATATTCAATAAAGAATTTAATTTATTAAAAATTTTTTTCATAAAATAAATTCTCATTAGTCGAATGAGTTATATGCCAAAGTAATAATAATAAATGTATGCATGTAATTAAAAATTATATACAATAATTATAAAAATAAAAATATATTTTAATATTTAATTATTTTACGTGACTACATTGAAATGGCAAGTTAATAATATATAATTTTACTTATACTTTATCATAAGCGAAACAGTTTCAAATAATATTTGACGTTTAATAAAATAAATTTTTTTTTATATTAATGTATACATTATTAAATTTTACACATTATACACGAAAGCTTTTAGTATGTTTATTATGTGTAAATTAAGTTCTTTTTTAACTTTTAATCATCTTTAAAGTTTCAATTAATTTAAATTCAATGAGTTAACTTAATATTTATTTACATGTTAAAGAACAATATAATCTGTCTGTAAAATTATTATATTATATATATTATTGTATAAAAAGTTTTTTTATACAATAATATATGTATATAAGAATATAATTTTACATATATGTATTAAAATAATTTGTAGATATGTACTAGTGAAAGCAAATTAAATTTACTATAAAAACATATAATTTGAGCCAATATTTTATATCTTTTTAAAGAATATATAATAAAGGCGTATGTTTTTAGAGGAATTATTTGGCACGTGAGTAATTAGCAATTGATATTTTATTAAAAATTTTTTCAATTTAGTACAAATTAATGAAGTAAGTACTCACAAATTGATATTGATAACAGCTATTATAATTCTGCCGTACTTTCTTCTACGCTTGCGAGCTAGTGCTTCTCTAATTTTTCTAGATTGTTTTGCCACTCGAAACACACACCAGTATAGATATATATTCGACAATCAACCAGACGACAACGGTATACGTCACGATTAAAAAGCGTCACGCTAACGTGAGCATTTTTCAAATTACACGTTGGACCATTTTTACGCGCGAAAGGATTAGTGAGGAGTAGAAAGGGGCGATGAACGCTATTGGACAGGTCGATACAAGGGTAGTCGTTAGCAACAAAATCGAAGTCAAAAATGCAATTGCACGGAAATCCAATAAAGCATCAACCATTAAATTGAGCATCGTTGCCCGACTTTCGACAACGGCAGGATCAACAATGATAAACGATTCACTTCTTTAGCAAGGCCTTCGCGCGTGGATAAATCGCTTCAATTTCACTGTTTATTTTTGAATTATTTTTTAGATACATGATCTCTCCATCAGTTTATTTAAAATTAATACGTACTTCGAACGATAAATTATGACAGTGTAGTCATTTTTCATCGAATATCACTGTATAATCATTTTATCATAAACACGTAAAGAAAATGTAGTCGAGGTTAGATCTTAATATCTATAAATTCTCTCCTTATATGTATTAGTTATTACGACAAATATTACCATATGCTTCGAATTAATTAAGATGTCCCGTAATATTGTTAGTAACAATTAAGTTTCTTTCAATGTTTTAAGATGTTTGTTATTATCATTATTATTAATTATTATTATTAAATTGACAATCAAAATTAATTTGTAATATCATTCTTAGCTTTAATTTAAATCTCGTTTTCAAGATTGACTATATTCAACACGTACTTTTTTTGAAGCACTTTTAAAAATATATTTAAATATTGATATGTAAAACACTATATTAAACATCAAAATCTAACCTCGACCGCATTAACGCTTCTTTATTTAACTGATTTATTTGTTAAATGATCTAGTTTAACTTATTATTGTAATTTTATAATCCACAATCTTGGTTTTTACTATATTTGCTACGTATATGTTCATTATACGAGTATATACCAAGCAACATAATTTTGCGGACGTTTTTTAACTACACGGCGAAACCATTGCCATCGAAAATGTCCTTCCATACAGAATGCAATGATAAAGAATACTAAATAAAACCGCGCGCGAGGATTGGATATTCCCATCATCCCTCTCCATTTCTCACATCCAATTTCCACGACGACAGTGGCTGTTACATCGGGCGGCGCATTATTATTCGCCGTATTAATTTCACTCGTTTAAGTAGTGAATAATTAAGCGCCATATTTCATTAGGGCCAGCTTAATCGCGACGGGACCATCCATAATTAATGGCTGGACGTGCCGAGCGCGCGTATGCATTCTCTCCCGTGCCGAACACTTCGTTAGCCCCACCCAGCCGCATTTGCTGGTCATTGTTATTTCGGATATCTATAGACACTATTATTGGCAATCGAATTTCTGTATGCATTATTATTAATGTTTGGTCGTGTCTAGGTATCTGAACGTGTACGTGTGCATGATTAATTCTGGATTTAATTCTAAATTTGACAATGTATTTTATAGCTCTTTTATTACAATTACATAGTATATCTAAATATCAAAAACTTCACAGAGATTGCATTTAATGATTGCATTCAGAAGACTAATTAGCTTAATAAAAAGGTATGTTAAATTGCAATTTAAACTGCATTTATATCATTATGCTTTTTTTATTACTTTGCACATTTAGATACTCTTGTCGATTTGACCCTTTAGTCTACACATATATAGTCTGTATATTCTTCACGTACATCCGCCAAAAAATGTAAAAAGCTTTGTGTCTGACAGCAGATCGATGAGTTCTAAAAATGATTTACGAGTATTTGCCAAATCGAGATTAATAGATAGTATTTGCAGTAAATGGATAAACCTCTCGAAGTGGAAATCTTCTTGCAGCCAAATATACATCAAATTTTTTCCTTAAATCGCCAAAAATATTAAAAATTAACCGTTTTATAAAATATTATAATTTTAATTTTAACATAGTAAATAAATTTATAGATTTAAAAAAGAGAGAAAATTATTTTATTTGAAAGTTTATGTTTATTTAATTTTCAATCATGTATTATATATCATGTATGATAATATTAAAAATATTAAAATATTTATATTAGTTTAATATAAATTTAATGCTTTAATTAACAAAATGTAAATTTTCTATTATTTAGTATTAATTATTATTACTGCTCTAAAAAAATTTTTTACTATATTACATTTCTCTGTAATAATTTACATACATTATGTAAGTTATTAACATAAAAGATTATTGTTGATTTCAGGTGCTACTCTTAATTTCGAAGTTGAACTCATGAATATTAGCGATTCGCCCCCAACTGCTAACGTCTTTAAGGAAATTGATGCCGACAAAGACAACCAACTGTCCCGCGAGGAGGTGAGAGCAATGGCAAGATCACTTTAAGTTTTTATTTGGGCCATTTGTGGTGCTGGTAGTAGAAAAATAGTACTATAAATATTTTATTATATAAACTATTTGTTTTTATGCGCATGGCCAAAAGTACTACAATATTAATAAAATTCGTTTATTGTATATTTTAAATATTATATACTTATAGATAGATTTATATATTATTGTATCCAGAAATTATTATATTTTATTTTTCACACACATACATATTTGCATTACATTAATACATTAAATGACGTGTAACAAAAAATTAGAAAAACTTTGTAATCGTGTAATGCTTATTGCGATACATCATGATAATTAAAAGTTATGAAATTGTTTTCATGTTGAAAATAAGAAATAAATTTTAAAACATTTACAGACGAAAAAAGAAATTTGATATACAGAAATTTAAATTAATTTTCGTATCACAGGAATAATTTCCAGCATGTTATATTTTAATCCACTTAAATTCTCTGCTAAATTACGAACTTAGCAATATTAACTTTATTCTAAAAATTCCATAAATCTATAATACACATGTATGTATAATATGTATACTGTGTAGACATTTATGCCATTTTCTATGCAACCGTTTTAATTAGTCGGTACATGGTCAATTTTTTATTTGCAGGTGAGCGATTATCTCCGAAAACAAGTGATAGAAGCCGAGCAAGCGGGCGCTAATGAAAATGAAGACGTAAAGAAAATGCTGGCTGATCATGATAAGCTCGTTGAAGAGATCTTCCAGCATGAGGATAAGGACAAAAACGGCTTCATCTCCCACGACGAGTTCAGTGGGCCGAAGCATGATGAGCTCTGAAGTCTTCGTCCCTCATCATCGCGTCTCCAAGCGCCCGTTGTTGACGTCGTCGTCGTTTCAACCGTCGACGATATCGACGCGCTCTGCGCCATCACGTGTTCACCTCTGTATAAAATCACCTCTTCGAGTCCCTTCCCGGGTATTCCCGAAGGATCCAATGATCGATCATACCGAGTACACGCGTGCTCGAACTTGCAAGACCAAGCAAATTTATCAGTAAACTTTTCTGATATAGCACCACTGATACTAGCATCAGAGGAATTTCGGGAATCTCCAGCTCGTCGAGTCGTATTCGTGTCCTTGATTGCAGGAAACTTACAAGAGTAGGTGGACATTTTGATTAACAACGAAGATGCGTAAAGTAAAACTGTTTTTTTTTTAAATTCGGAAAAAATCTGAAAATTTTGAAAACTATTTTTCGGTGATCCTAAACTGCTTAAAAATTTCCTGATTTTTTAATCCGGAGGTTCTAAAGAATACAATTTCGCTTGTTCGAAATAGGAATCACGATTACACCTCGCGAACCATCTTATACGCACAAGATTAATCGAGAATCTACAGAGGAAATCTTGATCAATTTCCGACGTAAATTCCATCTAAACCATTTTTATCCTAGCATATCTTACTAGGAAAAATCTACAATTTTTTTACCGCTCAATATTGTTTATTTTATTTATCATACAATCTCGTTTCGAAAATCTTTATACCAGTAAAGATAAACAATTATTTCTACAATTATTTAATTTTTAGAGATAATTTATATTGCGCAGAATTATAACTTTTTTACCAAATAAAGTTTCTGATGAAACAAATTTCTTGTTGCCTGGTAAGTCATAAAAATATATATCAAATCTATAGTCTTTAAACAATCAATATTAATATAATAATTTTTCCTTTATTATTTTCAACCGTTTTAAAAGTATGCGGAATTTCATAAAAATCCATGAAAATTTCACTGATATTCCTAAGGAAACATTCCGGTGGAATGACGTCATTGTACATTTTAATACAATATAAACAAAAAAATATACGAATGTCTGTTCGAATGATTGCACTGTAGTGGCGTGAAGTGAGGCTGTGTATGTTTCGCGCTATATATATTATATAAAAATATAAAGGGAGAGAGAAAGAGAGATTGTGATTGAGCGAGATAAAGGTGTGACGGAAAGAGTGTTTTTTTCTACATGATTATAAATGTTAGCATAACTAAAAGGCATCGACGTATGGTGCTGAAAATCACACGCATTCTGTCCTACTCTCAAAGCTTCCACCAACCTGTCCCAGTCCATAATGATCCCTTGCTCGAGAGTCGCGCGTGCGATATTCACGTAGGAGACAAGAAGAGGATGACGAAGAAAAAGAGGAAGAGGAAATATCCCGAGGATGCGTAGCGGAGATGAATATGGTCGCTCTTACGCGAGCATCCCCCTATCGTCGCATTATTACATTTTAACTGATACGTTTTTATTACTACATTATATTGTATGTTGTTAAAGTTGGATGATGGTTAATAATAAATCGTGTGTCTCGAGCACAGTTTGTTATATAACTACCTCTTTCAATTTCAACATCCCTGTCTGAAAGTTTATTCGCAACAAATATAAATGCGATAAAATATTTTATGAAGAGAGAGGAGGGGGGGGGGCTGCAATAAAATATTTCTACACATGCAATTGCCACAATTTTTGTGCATAACGCATAATATATCTGAAATTATTTTTTGTCTCATTTGGTTTCATTTTCTTTGGAATAGTTCCTGCTCATATTAACAATATTAATTATTTTTATTATTTTTTATTATTTTTTAAAGTACGATATAATTATCTAAAATATTTAGAAATATAAAAATAAAAGATTTATTGCATCAAAAATTTATTTTATTAATCAATTTTTTGTTCAAACAAGAACTGAAGAGAAACAAAGTTCTTGTGAAGAGAAAAAAAATTCTAGAATTTAAGAAAACTGAAATATATTTTTAAAGATTAGTCTTTTTTATTTTTATATTATATTTAATATAATAAAACTTACCTTTTACATTATAAAAAAATCACGGTTGACAAATCCGGAAGTATTACCTAAATTTTAAAACAAATTATCTTTCTCTGAAAAAAAAGAAGGATTTTGAAGGAGGAAAAAGAATTACATATTCGTATTTATTTTTATGATTGCTTCTCCTTTTATTTAAAGAATCATTTCCACAGAAAGTTACAATGAACGTGATTATGCGTTTCTACGAAACGCAATAATAAAATGATGATTAAAATAATTAAGCTGCTAGGCAGATTTATGTCGTCCGGTATGTATTTGCTATTCGACAGGAATCGTTCTAGAATCTAGAATATATTTATTTCGTATGCAAAATGGCTGTTTCTTCGTTGTAAATAAATCGATGCGAACAAAAGCATCGATTACTCGGAATAGTCGCTCTTAAAAATCGATCGATTATAAAAATTCGTCGAGGCACGTGCTATTATATGATTGTCAAGTCGACTCTGTCATCCGCGATTCAAGTGAATCTTCCGAGAAATACCGAGTACGATACATACGTAAAATGTATATAATGTACGCACAACACGCGTAATAACTGTCAAAAAGACAAAAGAAACGTAAACGACTTGAAACTTTTAGAAATTTCTGGACAAAATAAGGAAAATTTTGTAGAACAGAAAAATGTTTACAGAAGGACTTATACATAGTAAAAATCTCTCTATATAAGGAAATTCCTAAATAATGATTCCTAATACGCATGCGAGATATTGTTTCTCGTGCGCAAACGACATGTTAAGAGGAACACCTGTTCTCAATCATTGGCTTAAGCCTAAATCACCGATTAATACTTGTTTAATTCGTGACAAAACTATAGTATTCTTTTCCTGTTTCTTTTTTGCTCGTATTTATTATTCTATCTTAGCAAATCGAACGACAGGTGCACACACGAAGTGCACACACGAAGTGCACATGGAGCTTCACGCGAATATCGAATTCGACGAACGTCAGCGACGTGTCGCGGATTCGATCGTTGATGCCATCCGATCTCGGAGCGTCCTGGTAATAGGGGAAAACAGGATCCTATAGACGAAGATACGACGGGGAGGTCGCAATATTTTCACCGAGCTTCCACTGTTCCGCCCCTTCGCAGTTTTAACGTCCCGTTCTTTCTTCATCTCATTTCGTGAGAGCATGTCGTGGCCTTCGAGTATTATCACAGTCAATAGCCCTTGATGTAGGCGGCGATGTGCTTCTTCTCCTCTTCCGAAAGACCGTTTTTTAATGTTCTACGCACTGAAAGAGAAATACAATATAGTGGTTTGCGCCAATAATATTCTTTACTTTTTCGTAAGCAAATGTGACATAAAGCTTTTTAAGTGAGTCACATTGACTTACATTTCTTTCACCTTTCTTTTACGTAATAATACATAAACTATCTTTTATAATATTTTCCTATGTATAAAAACGTTTTATTAATTTTTAAAACAAAGAATAATTTTAAGGTATTTTTCTGAATTTTTCAAAAATAGAAATAAAAATTTTAGCGCATTCAAAAGTATTTGCGATTACTACTGTATTTAATATAGGCTTTTTGCTTATAAAATCTCTTAAAATATTTACTGAAAGCTTTTTTCAATTAAAAAATTAACAAAGGTAAAGAAACAATACGTAAATATAATGAATTTATGTTGCACTTTTATAGTATTATGTTTTTGACCGTTCATAGATTTGTAAATGTAATATAAATTGACAAAAACACACAAAAAGACGAATTTTTAAGAGCACATTATTCCCAGTGTGTGGAAAATGTATTATTTCAAATATTACACATATAAAATATAGCACAAATGGAAAAATTATCCATACAAAATGCAATTAAGACATTCCAAAAAAACATGCTGTAAAAATAAAAGAGATAAGGACCAAGTTATAATGGCGATAAAATTTTGATGTCACGTGATCATTTTTATGTTAATTTGTCGCCTACGAGAGATGTTGAAATGTTTTCTGATAGTTCTCTTTCATTAGTCCTTTCATCAGTTCTATACTAATAGTTCTCTTTCATTAATTTGACGTAAAATCGTAGTAAGTTCAACGACGTTTAATTAATAAGCTGCAAGTACATCAGTCAGAACTTCACACATAATCTTTAGGCTTGCGTTGAGACTTCTAAACTTCGATTAATTCGCCGTCAGTAATTGCAGCAATTGTTGCATAAAGAACATTTGTCACTAAATTTCGTTCAGGTTGTTGATCAAATTCTCAATTTATTAAAGGAAAATTCACAATAACTAAACTAAATTATTGTTAATTATTGTTTCTCATGCATCGATTAAAATTCTGGCATAATCAGGTGAGATATTAATAGCAGTATATCGATATACACAAGTGTATATCGGAATTCCGTTACACATGTCGCACTATTTCGATCACGTAAATAATTAACCGAGAGTTAATTTGCTGCTTTGTGTGTAGATTAGTCGACGTGATGGTTTGCCAATATGTCCAATAGCAAACAAACTGTTCGAAATACGGCTACGAAAGCCAACGGTTGTTGGTGGCTGTAGGAAATTACTCTATAATCCATTTGAAATTTCTCCTCCAAAATGATACTAAGCAAATACGTAGCAGTATACATAAAGACGTAATATTTGTATAATTTTGATTTAAATTAAAAAGCAAAAATTAAATAAACATATTTATTGAACGTCAAGAAAAAAAATGCAATACAAAAGTTTCCTTTGACAAAAGAAAAGAGAGAAATATAAATTTTTTTAAATACTATATTCTTTAAAATTATAAAGAAATTGATAGAAAAGAGTAAAAATATTCCATGTACATCTGTTTAATTAATATTCCTTTGTTTACTTTTATTTAAATATTAATTGTTTACTTTTATTTAATTTGTAAAATTTAAGTTTATATACATTATTTTACAAATGTTATAACATGAAAAAATCAATTCGCTCTCTTAATTTAATTTAAGCTTAATTAAATTAATCGATTTATTATTAAAGCT